TAAAGGTGAAGCAATCCACGTTGTGTTTAATTTAAAAAATAAAATGTGCCTCGGTGCCTCTCAGTGTTACCCATTGCCAGCAAAAGGCTCTTTGCTGAAATACTGGTGGAATTTTGTGCGATTAAGACACATTAAAACATATATTTTAGAATTATGTTGTAGGCGGTTCATGAATATCACAACGTGTTACCTGAATTTTGTAAGCGATCTCAGTAAGTTGTTGGTGCAGGCAACAGGGCAGTGCATTAGACAGTGCTTCAATCGCACTGTCTAATACACTGCCCTCTTACATCTTTTTAAACAGTTTTACATACATTTTGCGTGTGCTCCAGACGCTTGCAATGCCTGGCTTATGCCAATTCTGAGTGGGAGCGATTGCAACACATGTAATTGTCATGCAGACTTTATATGACAGTGCATCGAGGCCATGTTCAGGGACATGTATTCAACATTTATGTCGTTGCTGCTGGTTTGCTTCAGTGTAACGAATTTTCTTCATCATGAAGATTATTTTTTAGTTAAATTACTCGATGGCTTATTGGGATAATGCTGTGACAGTGTCACAAGTCCTGAAGCTCCCAACACTGCATTCATCCAAGTTCAACTCCCAGGTTCCCACCAGATATTGAGGTCCCTAGCTTTGATCTTCCAAAATACTCATGGGCCACAATCCTAAACCGCATGAACCGAGGCAGATCTGGATGCTTGATGCACTATCCCGTGTGTGACTGTGGTCACCCAGAACAGACCCCGGAACGTGTAATGATTCAATGCCCAATTCGCAAATACCAAGGGGGCATTGTCACAGCGGCGATACACTCCAACTACTCCTGATACAATCATCTGGCTCAAGCACCTCAGTGTATAATTATCGTTGTTGCTGTGCATCAAACATCAGCCATACGAAGAAGACCAGATATTCCCACGTGCAGCTTCGTTTGATCTTCTTAATATTGCTCAACAATGACTGCAAACAAATAATTGACAATTTGGCTGAGCTGATTGCAATATTTCAGAGGCCTTTTCCTAATATTCTTAGCTCTTTCGGTAAAGTCACGTTGAAGGTAAACAATAAAATAATAAAATATATATAAAACAATAAAAAATCTCACGACGTTTCGACCATAACACAAACGGTCATCATCAGGTGTGAAAAACCAACGTCAAGAAACATTTGAAAGAAGCGTCGGTCAGCATTAATTTATTTATTTTTAAACGGTGTATTTATTTATTTTAAAAAACATGTCAGCACCACGCGCAGCGATTTGGCAGTTTATTTAGAAGGACTAGTCCATCTATGTTCTGAAAAGAGGAGGGGAGAGACGAAAAATTAATGTATGCTGTCTGAAAGCCACCTTAAGCGTGAACAATCAATTAAGACCTGAAATGGTTTATCAAATCCTTCCAATGATTGCTAAGCCAGAATCCATCTTCTCGTTTGAAATTGTCTCTGTGCTTGTATATGTGGATAGCCTCATGAACGAATCTCTCATGGTAGCCAGATGGCTTACAAAGAACCTCTGTCTTGGAAAAGTCAATGTCACGTGAGCCTACTGAATTATAACAATGATCTGCCACGGCCGAGGTGTTGGTCCTACCGTGTTTAAGGTCTGCTTAGTGTTCACGAATGCGGTCCGAGACATGTCGTTTGGTTTCTCCAATATAACTACTACCACAGAGGCAACTTAGTTTGTAGTACTGTATGTCCAGAATCACATCTTTTACAGACAGAACCCGATCACGGATTTTATGTAATGTGTTGAAACGGACCTGGATCTTGTGTTTATTCAAGATTTAGGAGATATTTTTTGTGATCCCCGCAATGTAGGGTAAAGTGATGGTTTTGAAAGGCTCCTCAAGAGGGTCCTTCTTCATGGTTTGAGTGATAGCTTTGCGGATTGTATAGTCGGAGTAACCATTAGCCTTAAGAGCTTGGTGTACGTGCTTGAGTTCACTGCCTATGTGTTTCTGGTCGGATATGCATTGGGCTCTATGGTACAGAGTGTTGATGAGAGAATTCTTCTGTGATGGATGGTGGTGGGAATCCGGTTTCAGATAAGTATCCGTATGGGTAGCTTTCCTGTAGACAGTGGCTCATTGAACCATCAGGTCTCTTTTTTATTAGGACATCAAAAAAAGGTAGCTTGCCATCTTTTTCGTCTTCCATGGTAAATCTGATGGCTGGGTGTATGGAAATGATTTGGTCAAAGAATTGGTCTAGAGCAGGCCGGCCATGTGGCCAGATGACAAAAGTGTCATCCACGTACCTCTTCCATAAGGTTGGGCGCAGAGTGTCAGTCTGGATGGCGTCAGTCTCAAATTTCTCCATGAAAATGTAGCTATAACTGGAGATAGGGGGGAGCCCATTGGGGTGCCCTCAGTTTGTAGAAAGTTCCATTCCAAGTGAAGTATGAATTGGTTAAACAGTGTCTCACTAGGGGGGTACCTCAGTGTTTAGTCCTCGATGAACCAAGTCTTCAATGATTGCGATGGTGTCAGATACAGGAACCTTGGTGAATAAGGAAATTACATCAAAGCTGACAAGCAGGTCGTCTGGGGACAGGGAAATACCCTTGATTGTCGATACCAGGTGAGTAGAATTTTGTACCGCAGAGGTGGTTTTTCCAGTGAAAGGACTCAGGATTTCAGACAAAAAACGAGCCAGTTTGCAGGTGGGGGAGTTGATAGTAGAGGTACCCCCCCTAGTGAGACACTCTTTAACCAATACATACTTCACTTGGAATGGAACTTTCTACAAACAAACTGAGGGCACCCCAATGGGCTCCCCCCTATCTCCGGTTATAGCTAACATTTTCATGGAGAAATTTGAGACTGACGCCATCCAGACTGCCACTCTGCGCCCAACCCTATGGAAGAGATACGTGGATGACACTTTTGTCATCTGGCCACATGGCCGACCTGCTCTAGACCAATTCTTCGACCACATCAATTCTATACACCCAGCCATCAGATTTACCATGGAAGTCGAAAAAGATGGCAAGCTACCTTTTTTGGATGTCCTAATAAAAAAGAGACCTGATGGTTCAATGAGCCACTCTGTCTACAGGAAAGCTACCCATACGGATGCTTACCTATAACCGGATTCCCACCACCATCCATCCCAGAATAATTCCCTCATCAAGACTCTGCACCATAGAGCCAAATGCATATCTGACCAGGAACACATAGCCAGTGAACTCAAGCACGTACACCAAGCTCCTAAGGCTAATGGTTACTCCGACTATACAATCCGCAAAGCTATCACTCAAACCATGTAGAAGGACCCTCTTGAGGAGCCGTTCAAAACCATCACTTTACCCTACATTTTGGGGATCACAAAAAATATCTCCAAAATCTTGAATAAACACAAGATCCAGGTCAGTTTCAACACATTACATAAAATCCATGATCTGGTTCCGTCTGTAAAAGATGTGATTCCGGGCATACAGTACCCTGGTGTCTACAAACTAAGTTGCCTTTGTGGTAGTAGTTACATTGGAGAAACCAAACGCCATGTCTCGGACCGCATTCGTGAACACAAAGCAGACCTTTAACACGGTAGGACCAACACCTCGGCCGTGGCAGATCATTGTTATAATTTAGTAGGCTCACGTGACATTGACTTTTCCAAGACAGAGGTTCTTTGTAAGCCATCTGGCTACCGTGAGAGATTCGTTCATGAGGCTATCCACATATACAAGCACAGAGACAATTTCAAACGAGAAGATGGATTCTGGCTTAGCAATCATTGGAAGGATTTGATAAACCATTTCAGGTCTTAATTGATTGTTCACGCTTACAGTGGCTTTCAGACAGCATACATTATTTTTTTGTCTCCCCCCTCCTCTTTTCAGAACATAGATGGACTAGTCCTTCTAAATAAACTGCCAAATCGCTGCGCGTGGCGCTGACGTGTTTTTTATAAAGAAATACACCGTTTAAAATAATTAATTAATGCAAACCGACACTTCTTTCAAATGCTTCTTGCCGTTGGTTTTTCACACCTGATGACGACCGTTTGTGTTATGGTCGAAACGTTGTGAGATTTTTTATTGTTTTATATATATTTTATTGTTTCCCTTCAACGTGACTTTACCGAAAGAGCTAAGAATATGAATTACTGCAGTCACGAAAGCTTTAAATCAAAATCCTTTTCCTAATGTTCAGTTCTAATATTTGTCTCTGCCCTGCGAGAGTAATCTGATACTGTAGATCAAACAAAAACCACTCAGCTTTGATGCGAAATCCACAATTTGGTTTTGTAACTTTTTTTTTACAAATAATGGGTTTCGTGCCTACAGAATGTAAACTATATAAGTGCACTGCATGTTTATATTTTGGTACTGAAGCTGTACTCAGCTGGTTTAATCGAACAACAAATGTGAACCACGCATCCTCCTTGGTCATAGCCATCAGAATACCACAAGTTTAAATCGGGCCATCATCTCCCCGGAGATGGTTAAATAATTACCACCATGTGTGAAATCAGCTACAGCTTTAGAGCGGTGAAAAAACTGATCTTTACTATTGGACTTTGGAATGTGTAACACTGGCTCAGTTAGGGACGCCACGGTGGCGAGATGTTAACTACCTTGCCAGGTATACAGGATGGTCGTGGGTTCGATCCCGACCCTGATCCCTGTATATCTTGGCTTTTCATGTTTTTCCCATTGTCGCCTGGATTTTTCTCCGGGTCCTCCAGTTTTTCCTTCCACATTTAGATACCTGCTTTCAGAGTATTCGTCTGCTATGAATTTCCACGTGATTATCCCACTGCATTGAGCGATCATTTGTGGCCAGGTCGTTTCTGAAAAAGAGCTATATAGCTCAGTGGGCCTTACCTGGTAAAATAAAATAAAAATTGTTTCGTTTTCACTTAGTCCACCATTGGTGATGAGCACGACCACTTCGCTCGTTGAGCTTTTGAGGTGATGGTTTGATTTCCACTGAGTGAAGCGTCACCTGCCCTGCCTTGCCATGCTTTGCTTTCCACATCGCAGGGATCACGACGGTGCTGACCATGACCACTCTGAGCACCATCTCCCGCAAGTCGCTGCCCAAGGTTTCCTATGCAACGGCCATGGACCTCTTCGTCACCGTCTGCTTCTTCTTCGTCTTTGCCGCCATGATTGAGTTCGCCATGCTCACGTTCTTCGTCAGCAAGAAGAAGCTCAGTGGCGGCAAGAAAAAGAAGAAAAGGCACGCGCCGGTGAGACGCGGAATGCCGTGATGCTTTGTTACACCGTGGGCAGACAGGCGGCTGGGTGGCTCGGGGCCATGACAGTGCTGCCGTGAGCAGTGTCAGAGAGCTGGTCAATCATTGCAGAGACGTTGAACCTTCCTCAACGCCCCTGCAAATGGTTTCTGTGCTGATATTTTGAGGGAGGGAGGAAAAACAAAGCTAAATGTGTGGAAAAAGAACATATATCTGGCATTATTTATTTTGACCTGGACACTGAAAGTTGATCTGGACACTGAAATTATCGTTCTTATTCTTGCATAGTGGGATTCACTATGCAAGAACATAGAATGAGTAAAAGAAGTTCAACTATACATACATACATTCAGACAGTGAATGCAATAGAAGACAGCGCCTGTCTTATCCAGTCTTCTTCTTCTTGTTTAAACGGGGTCAGCCCCTATAATTTTTCGCATTGCACTATTTTCGGCATCCCCCTGCCCTAGATCAACTCTCGCCATTCCCTGCCCACCTCATCTTCGTTCCGCCTCTTGGTTTCTTGCATTGGACGTCTGTCTGCAGAACTCTCCGTTGCCATCCCACGCCTTGGGATCTGTCCTGAGGCTGTGTCCCCAACACTACAGTTGTGATCCTCCCATATTGTCATCGATTGCTGATACATCCATTGTGTATTGAAGTATCACATTTCCAAACCTTTTTATCACTTGAAAATAGTTCATTTCAGAATCAGAATCTGAATATTTATTTATCCTGGAGAAGTCTGATGAGCTTTAAAGCTTTTTTTCACAAATGTTCAGTAGGGATGGGTGAGAACGTTACAATAACAAGCAATACAAAAATACAATAGGAGTGCAAATAATTGGAAAGGTAAACAAGGCACAAAAAACATACAAATGAGACTAAACTATATTTATTTAAATCTTCAGGAATTAATATTCTTTGGGTTTTACTATAAAGCCACGTAGATAGAAAAAATAATTAAAATAAATCACCACGTTTCGATCAAAACACAAGCAATCATCATCAGGTGAAGAAAGCGGGAGAGCTGCTGAGGCAGGATGTTATAAAGGTTTGAGATGGGTGTAACCCAAGGGTCATAAGCGAAGTGGGTGGGTCTCGTGATAAAATTTGCATGTAAATGTAAGATCGGGTAAATTGGAAGGCCACCTCCACGACGACGAAGCTGCGGAGGTGGCCATTGTATTGTGAGATGTTTGCATGACAATGTAAAATCGTAGACCCACGAGCAATGATGGCTGTGTTACTTAGACATCGAGGAAAACGTGCAATGGTGGCTGTGTTAATTAGACATTTAACCTGTTAATGTGAAGACATTTAATCTGTTAATGTAACACCAGAGAGTCGAAAATAACTACTAACATCGCAAAGTAGGATGGAAACATCACAGCTAGTTATGAATTAAACTGGTTAATAACTTCCTTTCAAGGATTGCTCAGTTTGTACCCATCTTCTCGGTTGAAATTGTGTCTGTGTTTATATATCTGGATGGCTTCATGAACGAATCTTTGCTGATAGCCAGTGGATTTGCAGAGTACCTTCCTCTTGGAAAAAAAAATGTTTGCCGACAGCATTAAAACAATGATCAGCCACGGCTGAGGTATTGATCCTTCCATGTTTCAGATCTGCCTTATGCTCACGAACACGGCTTAGTTTCCCCAATGTAACTACTGCCGCAGACACAGCTTAGTTCATAGACGCCTGGGTATTGCATGTCAGGGCCCACATCCTTCACAGATGGGATCAAACATTTTATGTACTGTGTTGAATGGAACCTGGATCTTGTGTTTGCTCATGATTTTGGAAATATTTTTCGTGACCCCTGCTATGTATAGCAAGGTGATGGTTTTGATTGGGTCCTCAGATGGTTCTTTCCCAACGGTAGGGGTGATAGCTTTACGGATTGTGTAGTCTGAATATCCATTAATCTTGAGGGCTTGGTGTACGTGTTACAGTTCACTGGCTAGGTGGTGATGGTCGGAAATACATCGAGCTCTATGCTGTAGAGTTTTGATGAGGGAATTCTTCTGGGATGGATGGTGGTGAGAGTCAGGTTTCAGGTAGGCATCCTAATGGGTGGCTTTCCTGTAGACAGTGTCCCATTGAGCCATATGGTCTTTTTTCGATCAAAACATCCAAGAATGGTAACTTGCCATCCTATTCCACCTCCATGGTGAATTTGATGGCTGGGTGTATGGAATTGATGTGGTTGAAAAATTGGCCCTAGGCCATGTGGCCAGATGACGAACGTGTCATCTATGTACCTCTTCCACAAGAAAGGACATAAGGTGGACACCTGGATGGCATCTGTCTCAAAATTTTCCTATGAAATACTGGCTACAACTGGAGATAAGGGAGAACCCATTGGGGTACCTTCAACTTGTTTGTAGAATGTTCCATTCCAGGTGAAGTAAGTGTTGGTGAGGCTGTTTCTAACCAGGGCTGGTACATCAGCATTCAGTCCTTGTTGGACCAAATATTCAATGATTGCAATGGTGTCTAGTACAGGAAGTTTGGTAAACAAAGACACCACATTGAAACTGACAAGCAAATCACCTGTCGATAGTATAATGTCCTTAATTAACGATACCAAGTGAGCTAAGTTCAACTGAGGTGGTCTTACCAGTGAATGGTTGTAAGGTCTCAGACAGAAATTGGGCAAGTTTGTAGGTGGGTGAGTCAATGGTGGAGACAATAGGACGAAATGGTGTCCCTTCTTCATGGATTTTTGGTAAGCCATAATATCTCGGTGGTCTAGCAACAGAGGGTTTAAAGAAAGCCACTTGGTTGGTTCGATTAAAGATGTTGAATCAGTGATGATATTGTTGGTTTTCGTAACCAGGCGTTTGGTGGGATCTCTATTGATTTTGGTGTAGCTACCATCATTAAGTAGGTCCTGAATATTGCTATTGTATGTGGTGTTGTCCATGATGACAGTGGCATTTCCCTTGTCGGCTGAGAGGATGACTATGTCATCTCACTTTTTTAGTTGAGAAAGCTTAACGTTCATCTTTACTGATGTTGCTATTAGGTGTCTTAGCGTTTTTGAGGATTGCAGCTATTTCCGATCTTGCCACGTCTGCAGGGATGTGTCCCAAACCCTTAAGGGCTATGTCGACCTGGGCAATGATATCATCAACTGGGATGTGTTTAAGGGTGACTGCGAATTTCAACCCTTTAGCTAGAACCGATTTTAGGCTGTCGGAAATTGGGCTGTTACTCTGATTGATAACAATGTTGTCACCATCTAACTTTTTAATGTGTGGATCTGGCGTCTTCTTGGACAGGAGGTTGAACTTGGCAATCAGGTTATCTATGCATTTAGCTGACATTGAGGCAGCTGAAGAGGCTGTCATGTTTTCTACATGTTCCCAATCAGATGTAGACATTTTTTCTGTCAATGTTAAGTATGATTGCAAGAGAGTCTTGTCTAAATTGTCTAGATCAAAATGGAGCAATCTTATTGTCTCTGAGATCAGGGCTAGGCCGGCCCTCAACAAGATCCGTTTAGCATTAGGAGACAGCAGCAGATGTCAGTGTAAAGGTGATCGGTGTTACCTTAGTGTTGCGGCATCTATTCAGAAAAGTGAGCGACTCGATCAGATGAGCCTTCTTGTTTAGAAGTTTGTTAAAAGATCTAATAGTTTTGTGGAAACCCTCCCCATAGAGGTGGTTAAATCTTGACTTAAAGCTTTCGTGACTGCAGGAATTCATATTCTTTGGGTCTTTCGGTAAAGCCACGTAGATATAAAAAATAATAAAAATATCACGACGTTTCGATCGCAACACAAGCAATCGTCATCAGGTGAAAGAGTAGCTGGAGAGCTGCTGAGGCAGGATGTTATCGAGGTTTGAGATGGGTGTAGCCCAAGGGTCATAAGCGAAGTGGGCGTGGCTAGTGATGACATTTGCATGTAAATGTAAGATCGGGTAAATTGGAGAGCATTTCACCAGGTAAATCCTACTGAGCTATGAGCTTCTTTTTCAGAAGCGACGAAGTGGCTTATCACGTGAAAATGTATATCAGCCAAATAATCTAAATTATCTAAAATCTTCCTTACCATTCGATAAAACCGTTTTTTTCATTGTTTCACTGAAGGTCACTGAAGTATCTTAATGTCCAAGAGATCGCTGAGGTCAATAAGCCATCACACGTTACGACTTCCTTTCGCGAGATTTAAAAATAGTTGCACCGTTGACACCCAACATCCAATGTTTGCCATGCTATCTTTTTCACTTTACCACCTCTGTAAATATGACGGTCTTTAGCAATAATTGTGTAAGTTAATTTAACAACTAGCTTAGAAAATATAATTATTGCCTCCATTGCTTGGTCTGCAGCTGCTTGTTTCACAGCAGAGGCTGAGTGGAATTGAATGCAATCAGGGTGAGTTAGTTTAACGATATTGATTTTTAGCTGAGGGTTACTAACAGGCAGTTAGTTTATTTTGAGTACTGTGAGATCAACTGGCACTTTGAACTGGCTAGGATAAGTCTTTTCTTACCTGTCTAATGATAACCTGTCAATTTATTTCCACTGCTGGATGAATATCTCCCCACACCATTGCCATTCCTCATGGTACTGCACAGCCATGATTCATGGATCGCTACACGTTCAGCATTACAATGGTGCATATACAGAATACAAATGTAAATAATTATCAATTCAGCTGTCTCACTGCATTATACTTTAGCTCTGTGCTACGTTTATAATCAAGACAAAGGTCTAAGTGCACCCATGCTGCAGTACGCGTGAGGAGTACTTGTCCACATTGGTGGCCCGATCCAGCAGTGGTAATTCCACAATCCTATGGCATCGTCCAATTTTTCCCCACTCTTAATTTCCCAAAGAGCGGTGCGCATTATATTGACCACATAGGGGTGTTGGGCTGAGTGGACCTCCAGTACTCCTGTCCCAGTGTCACCTATTCATATTATTATCTATAAGTTGTCAACATAAAGTATTGACTACGACTATCATTTTATCTCAA